TAATGGCTTAATGTCTTGTGTCATTTAAATTTGACAACATCTTTAGGAGGGAAGAGAAATGAAACAGAAAGTTTTCTTTCCACCATTACCAAAGGAAGTTGTTGGCTATTACATAACTTTGCATCTAGTAGTCCAAATGGGGTCCTATAGACAGTTTCTAGGGGTGTAGAAACTGCCTTAGATGCAAAGATGTAGTATAGATACATACAACAAAACATTTCAGAACTATTTAGATAGGTGTTGTTAAATGGAGGTTTAGACTGGTTTCCTGCCAGATTTACATGGAATTATGTGGAAAAGGTAGTTCTTCGGAATGCGTATTGTGTGCTCTATACTGTTTGAATGGCTTTCATATTTCTTTTCTCCACTAGCATTTAGAAGCAGGCAAAAAATGCTACTGATTCTATCAGTTTAAAGTGAACACTTTTGGGAGGCTTACTTTCCTTCCAGAGTAGTTTAAAAAAAAAAAAAGGTTTTAATTCTAAGACATTGTTCTTATAATATTGCCTGACTGAATATATCATGTTTTATAGGATTACTCACATTTCCTGAGCTTCTGTTATTCTGCACAATTATTGACCTTAGGTCTTCAGGTTAAGCTTTTTAAAAAATTTAACTCAAGTTACTTCCTTTAATTTGTGCTTTTTTAGTGTTGGCTCTATGAGGCAAAACTTTCCTTTTTAAAGATTTTTTTTTGAGTCTTGAAATGCTGAAGAGAATGTTGTTACTGAATTAACAAAAGACACTGAGCTGCTTTCTGATCGGAAAACCTTTGTCTTTTTTAAAATTAACTTTTTTTTCTAAAAAAGATTTTATTTATTTATTTGACAGGAAAAGAGAGAGTGAGAGAGAGCAGAAGCAGGGGGAGCAACAGGCAGAGGGAGAGGGAGAAGCGGGCTCCCTCCTGGGAGCCCATTGTATGGTTTGATCCCAGGATCCTGGGTTCATGATCTGAGCCGAAGGCAGACACTTAACTGGCTGAGCCACCCAGGTGCCCCAGAAAGCCTTTTTCTTATATACCTTTGAATTTAGAGAAAGAGCAGACCAACAAATACTAGAGGGCAGGGTGAGAGATGATAGCTCTGAACAAGTGGGATTTCTACGTGGAGGGGGTGAATGTGGGATGTTTCCACCCGTGCTGGTGTGAGGGATTGTATCTGCATATGTTAAAGGTAATAGAGATTGCCTCCTCTGCTCACTGCCATGCTGTTTTGGGAAATTTGAGAATTTTATACAATCACACACTGTGGCATCTTAAACCACAGTGAACACCTTGTTGTGAATTGAGCATTTTTGGTTTGTGTTCAGGTTCAACCCGAGAAATCTGCTTCTTGTTGCTCTTTGCTGGGAGCTCCTTAAGGGTTTGGTCATTTCTTAATCTTTGGGGAGCAATTGCTGAATGAATAAAGCAATATTAATAATAATATCTTACATTGATAATAAGGCTTTCAAGTTCACAGAGTACTTTCACACAGATTTTCTTTCTGCGAATCTCAGCAGTCCTCTGAATGAGGCGTGGCAGGTATTAACACCTTAATTATGCAATAAATTGAGAATCAGACAAGATATGTGACTAGCCCAAGACCAGTAGATCTTTTTTATGTTCTCTCAAAAAGGAAGAGAGAATTAAACACACACACATACACACCCCTGTCACCATCACCACCATCAACAAGAAAAGCATTTTTATGGACGTCTGTGTATGCTCCACATTCTTTCCCATCAACCAAAATAGTCCCTTGATACTAGTTCCCACACAGAAATGGACCCGTTCTTTATTTACTGTATCGGGAAATGAGATGTGGCCAGTGGGGGGCGGCTGAGGATGACCGGGGAACCAGGGCCCTGACGATGGAAAAGCTTTTGAAATCTGAGGCTTTGCATCTCAGACACCGTGGATGGAAGCTTGTTCATGTGGCCATCTTCACTCTCCCTCCTTCTCGCTTCTCCCCACACCACGTCTCATTGGTTATTCAGCCTGTTGACTCTGCTTTTTTCTTAGAAGTCTATGGCTAGCCCCTGACTACCGGACAGCCCACATTCAGATGCTCGCTGTCCCCCAACATGCCGGCAGGGGGCTTCCTGCGGGTCTCCTTGACTCTCCTTCACATCCTCTTTCACACACTGTGAAGAGCGTCGAGTTCTTTAAGAGTTCGACATTTCCAGGGAATGAAGTCCCTTCTCCTAATTTAGCACGTAGTACTCTACAGATCCCGACTTTGGGCAGCCACTCCATTCTCAATTCATAGCCTAGGCTGTAGTTTCCTATATGGTTGGCAGGCCCCTTGGCAGTCTCCTTCTCTGCCTTTGTACCCACCATTGGCTCTGTGTGGCATGCCCCTCCTCCCCTGTGTGCATTTGAACCCCCTTGGCAATGTGCTGAGTTAATGTTGGTTCTTTCAAACTTGGTTTGTGTCTTCTCCTTTGGATGGACTATTCTGACCTCCCCTGGTGAAGTGGGCGACATGCATCTTTGTGTCCTGTGGTACCTTCTGAAGAGCCCCAGCATGAAACTTCCAACTCTGTCTCATCCACGAGACTGTGAACTTTTTGGGGACGGGACCTAGTTCTTAGCGCCTAGCAGCACAACCAGACCAGTCAGCATGGTTTGGCTGAATGTTTGGCTTCACTTCACAATAACCTCAGCCACAATGATCAGGACCGTGACGCTCACAGTCTGCTTGCCAGCTACCCAAAGATACCACTAACTAGGAGTGCGACCGGGGTGATCTAGAATTTTGAAAAAATATTTTCTCCCTTAAAGGACCATTTCCCGATGAACTTAGTTAAGAATCTGAAGTAATGGAGAGACATATTTTTCTTTCTTTTCCTGGATGGATGAAGTCAGAAGTATAGGCTACAGATCATGGAGTTCAGTTCAACTTGAATATGGACCTGTGTTTTTGCTACACTTAGACAATGTAGAATTCAGCCACTGGCCTATACAGGACAGAATAGTCTCTCGCATTACATTAGGAGCATTCCTTTTGTGATATTCACAGCCTCTATATTGGTCCTTAAAAAAAATTTGTATATTTTCTTTGTAGTTACTGATATGTAGGAAATAATTTCTAGGGCTTATAAAATATATTGCCAAGGGAAACAGTTTTGAGGTCTAGTTATTTGGTTCTCACACACATGTGCCAAGTGGTGATACCTGTATCATACTATAATTGTGATGGTCTCTCAGCCTACTTTTAGTGGGTGGAAGGTGTCTGTTTTCCCACTATGTATGAAATGTTTACTCCTCCGGTAGCTTTTAAGCCAGAAATGAATAATTAGTTTTCTGTAGGCTGTATGTATATCAGGTGGGAGGACAATCAATAGAACTTGCTTATAAGTACAAGCTGTAGAAAGGGTCACTACTTTTTCTGTGTTTTTAAATTTTCTTTAAAAATGTATAGTCATATTTCTTGGTCATTTTATGCCATTTAGAACTGTAAGAGAGATTTGAAAAGAGATCAAGTCTATCACTTAATTTTATAATTATTTTTTTAAAGATTTTGTTTATTTATTTGAAAGAGAGAGAGAGCATGAGCCTGAGCAGGGGGAGGGTAGAGGGAGAGAGAAAAGCAGGCTCCCCGTTGAGCAAATAGCTCAATGTGGGGCTCCATTCCAGAACCCCGAGACCATGGTGTGAACCAAAGGCAGATGCTTAACTAACCCAGCCACCCAGGTGCCCCAATTTTATAATTATTTTTAAAGAGAAAAGATTAAGTATATATAATGTAGTCAAGAATGTGGTGAAATTGACTGAATTTTATTTTATTTTTAAAAAGATTTTATTTTTTTGAGAGAGAGTAAGAGAGAGCACAAGTGGGGTGAAGGGCAGAGAGAGAAGCAGACTCCCTGCTGAGCAAGGAGCCCCATGCAAGGGCTTGATCCCAGGACTCTGGGATTATGACCTGAACTGAAGGCAGCCGCTTATCCAACTGAGCCACTAGGTGCCCCCCGAATTTTATTTTTGTGATACATATTTAAAAAGTGAGAATGACCCTAAATATTAACACATCTACCAAAATAAAGTAAGTATATCATATTAAGTTAATACAGTTTTTTTTTGTGAAAAAAATGAAGATAATGTTGGGGTTTTCTGCATCCCTACTTCTTTATCATAGAATATTGAGAGTTAATCTTTATTCTGGTTTGTAGTCCATTTTACAAACATACAAAATCATTAGCATCTGGAAGGATTCTTTCATCAAATTTGCAACATTCTCATTAAAAAGAAAAAATGTATTTAGCTTTTGACTTAGAGATTATCACTCCCTGTATTATTCCACTGTGATGTCCCATCTTGATATTTAGTACAGATATATTGAAACTTGGGGAATGGGTGACCGAAATGTGATTTAATTAATTATTTATTTTAAAAAAGATTTATTTATTTATTTGAGAGAGAGTGAGCAAGCATGAGCGAGGAGAGGAGCAAGGGGAGAGGGAGAGAGAATCTCAAGCATCGCAAGGAGTCTGATGCGGGGCTCGATCTAATGACCCTGAGATCATGACTTGAGCTGAAATCAAGAGTCAGACCCTCAACCGACTGAGTCTCCCAGGCACCTCTGAAATGTAATTGTTGTGATTGATTGTTTCTACTTTTTGCATCACGTTGGCTGTCAAAGATACATACCATGAATAAATAATTAATTTTGCAGGGTGAGGTAAAGTAGTGAGAACCACTAATCTCAATCTATTCACTTCCTAAGACCAGGTACCCCATTGTCATTAAGAAGTACCTTATAATGTAATGATTACATTGACTCGACTTTTTAATAAATTACACTAGCTATGTTAGCTTTTCAACAACCTAAACTAATGAAGCAGAAGGTATTTTAGCAATCTAAATAATTATTTGGAAAGGATGTTATGGGGGAGTTTGGGAGATGGGCTCAGTGTTCTTTCTACTCAGGGATTAAAGATTCCAAGGCTAGGCTATAAGGAATATCTAAGAAATGCTGGTTGCCTTAGTTACAGTGTTTTTGTTTGTTGCTTTGTCATAGACTGCCTCTTTAAGGTGTGCCCTATGAACCGATATTCTGCCCAGAAACAATACTGGAAAGCTAAGCAAGCCAAACAGGGGAACCACACAGAGGCAGCCTTGCTGAAGAAATTACAGGTAAGGGCTAGGCTTCCATTGGTCTGGCTTAGGCTAGACCCAGAACAGCAATAACAAACCAGCTATTTTGTATCTTAGTGATTTCACTCAATGCACAGAGATTTAGAATAGATGTAGCAACACATTGAAAGTGGAAGGGACTTTGAAGTCACAGGGCGTGATCCCCTCGTTTCCTGGCATGGAGCTAATACACTCCTGCTGCTAATTCTTAGGGTGTGCCAGACTAATTCAGAGATTCACATCAAACTGGAAACAATTCAGAATCTCTGTAGGAATCTCAAATCCAGTTATATTTTACTTGGCATAGTACTTAATTTTTTTCTTGAAAGACTGGAAAAAGAAATTGAAAGTCTGTTGCTTCTGGTTTGGGCTGAATGTAAATTTGATAGAACTTAAAATTTTGTGCTATTAAAATTCCTGTTACTTTCAGAATTGAAACTATTTGAGTCTTTTGAAATTCACCTTCTATTTTTATATTGTTTGGTTTGTCTGACAATATTCCTTCTGAAACTAATTTTATAAGACCAAAGAGCCTAGTACTTTTCTGACATTTTTAACCTAAAAGCATCCCAAGATATTTTTTGGCCACATTTCAGCATCAAATTGAGACTGTGATTATACTGTGTTACAGTCATTTATTTAATGGTTGGTCCCCCTATCCACAGTACCAAGAGTAAAGCAACCAGCCTATTTTATTCATGGTTATAGTCCTTGTTCCTAAAATAACCTGGTTTTTTTTTGGTTGTTGTTGTTGTTGTTAATTGTTGTACTCTGTTTACTATGTTTCCATGCTGAGTGTTTGATAATCATTTTACAGCATGCTGCAGAACTGGAACAAAAACAAAATGAATCAGAGAATAAGAAACTGTTGGGAGAAATTGTGAAATACAGTAATGTTATACAAGTAAGTCTGTTTACTCTCTCTTAAAAAAGGTGACTATCTGATGGGTAATTTGCATTTGTATAGGCATGTCAAGCTGCATTAAAATTTGGGGATATAATAGTTCTTTGATGAAGATTACAGATATCATGATATTTTCAGTTGATGTTCAGCACAGTTTTCTCTATGTTTTTGAATATGTCTGATGCATACACATAAGGAAGTGAATTATTCTGGATAATATGCACAGGTCATTATTACATCAAAAGGATGAAGATGGGGAAACATAATTTTTAAAGGTCTGTACTAAAATCTTCTTTTAGAATTGATGGGACTACCATGTAATACCTGAAGCTTTATTTTTCATTTTGTAGAGAGAAGAAAAGTTTCATATTGTACTTCTATATGGAAACCATCCTTGAATTGTTATTAAACAAGTTATTTCACTGATTTTTCTCAGGCTGTATCCCTCTCTTGTGCTTCTCTTAGATCTTTTAGCTTTTTACTTGCTTATTTGTTAATATGTGCCCCACCTTGTTCCAAAAAGAATGCAAGGCATTTTCAAAAATACATACCACCTAAGATAAAATAGAAATAAATAAGGCAACTGGGTCAAAGGAAAGGAAAAGTGGTTAAACGAATAAGGTGAAGTCAGGGGGGAGGCGTGTTTATAAAATCCATGTTGTAAAGTCTGGTCAACTTTGCCTGGAAGTCTTATCATTGCTGTAAGGGAAGCAGAGTATCCTATAGCACTCCCCTAGGAGGCCCTTAACATAGAACTGAGTCAAAGGTCTGGAAGCACAAATGTTGCCAGGAAGACCAGGAAGTATTCCTTCAATGAGCTCTCATAAAGAGGACACTGTTTAATAGAGTCAATAACAGCTGTAACAACTTCCTTACAGTAAACACTACAATGAGGTGTTTCATAGAGCTGTTTTAAAAAATAGTATCGGCCAATGTTTTGTTATTGGCCAATGGCAGAATGGCAGCACACAGGACCATTCAAGCAGCCCTCTCCTGGGACAAGATGAGAGAGCCTGGCTCTGTAGCAACCCGAATGTAGGACCTCACCTAATGGCAGATTATAGGACACCAGTGGTGTGGGTGGGTAGCATGTCCCTTGAGCAGTCCTCCATTAGTAGAGTTTTTCTTAACCAAATTTTGATTAATATGAAGTGCCAGCAAGTGGAGTCTATGTTTTTTTTTTGTCAAGAGCTGGAAGTGCAAATGTTTGGATGGTCAGTTAGGGACCTAGCCACGTGCCCTATCAAGGTAGATTCTGAAGGAGTGGGGTTGGGCCGTGAGGGTTTCATTGGCTCAGAAGAGAATTTCTTATATTGTAAATATGAAAATGACCACTCTGTTTTGAAATGATTGTCATAATAGACAGGAAAGGTTATTTGTTTTAGCTTTCTTGCTTGGTGGAATAAAGTCTTGGGAAGGTTTTGTCCGCAGTGTCCAAAAAAGTCTAAGAAATGGTGTTTCCTATGCTTATCTGAGAATGGAGTAGGATCCGTGTCCTCCTGCAGGAATTATTTGGGATGCAAAGCCTGCCTCTTCACAGAGGAAGAAGTAGGGCTGTCCGTGGCAAGGATAGTTAATGACATTAACTAGTGCATTACTTTAGCTTCTTGGTTATTTTCCTTAGTATATTCTGGTTTTGTGTCTGTGCAAGAATGGAGAGAATGTGATTTCAGGGTATTTCCTGGTCTCCTTTGGGAAGCCTGGTTTTATCCTATTATTTATCAGTAGATGAAAATTTTCGGAGATGTGCTCTGGTTTGATTTCTCTGTGAGCCCTGTTCATCGTGGGCTGGAGGTGAGGAGGAAACTGAGAAAGTCAGCTTGGGAAGATGGTGAGTATGAAGCGTGAAAAGAGCACCTTTGTTTCACCTGCACTCGAAGCTATAGCATGTGGACACAAGATATATGTATAAATGCATACGTGTAATTAACAGAGGACATGGGAGAATAAAGGCAGTTATATCTTTCCCCCCACAGCTGCTGCATATAAAAAGCAACAAGTATCTGACTGTCAACAAGAGGTTACCTGCTTTACTGGAGAAGAACGCCATGCGTGTGTCCTTGGATGCTGCAGGAAATGAAGGGTCTTGGTTTTATATTCATCCCTTCTGGAAGCTGAGAAGTGAGGGTGACAATGTATGTAAAAATAAAATTAAGAGAGAAAGAATGTGTTCCTAAAGACAATAATGGTTAATAAGTGAGAGAATCCAGATAGCACAAAGGCACAAAGAGAGGACGTGTGATTTTCAGTCAACACATTATTTTTATGGTAATCTCTTTAATAGGTTAAAACTATTTATAGTGCAAATTGTGCTTGGGAATCATAAAAAGACAAAATTCAGATTAATTAAAAGATCATCTTCCAGCTGGAATTCATGTGAAAGAATTTAAGCAATGTTAATATTGGCTGAACCTTTCAAAGGAGAGAGAGAGAGTTTGCTTCCTTTCCTAATCTGAAGGGAGCATGGTTGTAAGGAGAAAGCTATGCTTAGGAAATGCTGTTTATCCCTTTGAATTAATAGAGAGTAACAGTGCTTACAATGATATTTCATTTACTGGCTCTATATTCAGCTGTTTATGGTCTATACATCTTAAAGTTGTATGAAGTATGAGGAGCTATATAGATGGGCACTTGCTTGTTGATGACAATATTTAAAATATGTTTGGGAATACATATATGTTGTATCATGTAAATTTTAGTAGTTGCGCAAGCATTTTCCACTAGCTTATAGAGTAGGGAACATAAAAATTATGTGAAATGATTCAATAGGATCAATTGTTGGATATTTTTGTTTGTAATAAAGTAGCAAGTGACAATACCTAGCACATGGGAAATACTCAATAAATACTGAATAACTTTTGTAAGTAGAATACCTTACAAGTATTGGGTCAGGTGTCAAGAAAAAGAGTTGAGATTTAAAAAAATAGTGAATCTCTATTTTCAGTGAATTTTGAAATACAAATTCAATTCCACAGGATGCAAGCTTCATGGTTTAATTTGGTTAATAAATGATCTGATGATATCCTCCTTAGGTAAGGTTTGGGAGATGCATGGCATGCAGGAATGTAAGGCACCTTAAGTCTTGTGTTGGATTCCTTAAAAAAAAAAAAAAGTCCTACTTGTTTATTTTTTTGGCATCAAGTGACGTGTGCTCTGAGCATGATCTATATGTTAATTTCAGTAGGTAGTTAATTACAATCAACTCTCAATTATTTAGGGACTGATTATGCAGTTTAAGAACACCCCATGTCTTCTGGTGCCCTTTCTTGGAAATGATTGGATAAATTAGGGCCTTTCGATTAGCTGTGGATTTTATAAATTCATTCTATTTGTTTATTTATTTATTTATTTATTTATTTATTCTAGTCCTTTCCCTGTTCCCAAAGGCCTTTATGGGATCCACTGAGAGTTGAATGTAATGAACTATTTCAAATAATTAGTTATACTGGGATGGGGGGACCCTCCCGCCCAAGCATTCCGTCTTGGTAAAATGGACAGTGTAATTGTGAAGTGCAATATAGAAACCTTCCTTCTGTAGATATGTTCCATAAAGCATGGCTACAACAACCTTCCACATTGCTTTTTGCCGGAACAGCTCACTGTTGTCGCTCACCACTATGTAGCTGTTGTATGTGATTAAGATTGCTGCGAAAACATAAGCACACCCACATCCACCTGTTTGCCACACAAATAGTTGTATTGTAGTGCTCCTTTTCTTCTCTAGGAATGGGTAGTATTCCCTAGCAATAAATATCATTCTAAAATTCTAAAATGTATTTTATTGAAGGCAGTTGGAAATACTGTCACTTCATAACAAGTGATTTAATTACTACTCATTTTCTTGAAAAGCATATTAAGCTAGGAAGAGGAAATTGTAAGGTTCAAAGGATTTTTAAAATTACATGTTACTATTAAGCAATTAGTAAGTTGTGATTCAGGTTGTGAGTATCCAATAAGATGTTTAGTGACTGAAATGAAATGTTAAGAATGAGGCTGATGATAGTTTGGGGAGAAAAATGCTCATAGCCTCAAAAATAAGTGGATTCTACTATTTATAGAATGATGAGTTGGATAGTTTTGGGGGAAAAATAGACTCAGGGATCCCTCTACATTTCAGCTGTAAGGAAGATCTCGTTTGCTATTTTGTAGTTAGAAAGTCATTGGGGATAGCAGAGTACATAAATATTTCATTTTCATTTATTTTCCCATGATTGAGTGGTTAATTTTTCATTTTCAACTTTGATCTGAGAAGACATGAGTTCTTTACCTTGATAGTAGATTTTAAAAAGGAGAAGAGCCCAGATAGTCTTTCAGTGAAGAGAAAAATTCAACTCTTAGACAAAGAGTCTCTTTAAACAGCAAGTAGATTTTATAATTTTGCAAAACTGGATCTCTTGGAATTCTAGCGAAGGCAGGACTAGATCCCTGATGTGTTGGTTTCTACTGCAATGCCATGCCAGGTGTCACTTCCAAAGAAGGGTAGCTGCCAGTGACGTTATATTGCTCTGGATTTCCAGTAAAATCTCAGCTTGGATCTTCATGGCTGTTGCATAGAATCAACATAAGTGCTTTTGGAATTGGAATTTTTTTTTAAAACATTTTTTTATTTGTTTATTTGACTGACAGAAATCACAAGTAGGCAGAGAGACAGGCAGAGAGAGAGGAGGAAGCAGGCTCCCTGCTGAGCAGAGAGCCCGATGCCAGGCTCGATCCCAGGACCCTGGGACTGTGATCCGAGCTGAAGGCAGAGGCTTTAACCCACTGAGCCACCTAGGTGCCCTGGAATTGGAATTCTTAAAAGATGTTTATGTACTAGAATGAGTGTGACGTGGCAGAAAATGATGACACCCTTAAGTTCCTTATTAAATACACAGCTTCTCAGAAGGCATCAGACCACATCAGCGGACTAGTCCCAGGCTACATGCTTCAGAGCATATTACCAAGTTTGATATTTACCAAGTTTGTCTAATTACGTGTGAATTCCCTGAGAACAGGGACTATTTGTCACACTTTTTTATTCTTTTTGCACTCGTCTGTTCTTTTTATTTCTTTTGATTAGCATCTGGTCCATTGCATTTAGAAGATTTTTTTTTTTTCCACCTTGGTTAGTCCAAGTAACCGTTGTCAAGAATAAGACTGAAGACTTGGAAATGAGTGAATTAATGTTAGATTCTCTTTGTTATTACTGTTCTTATGAACCCTTGGTATTTAGAGCATTTTGGCTATATGGCTGATCTTTTAAAAATATATAGTAGAAGACTTTCCAGGTGGTGTTTTGAAATAAATATTACATATGGATTGACCCAAAGCTTACAGAAAACCATAAGAAAATAGTAAGACTTAGATCAATGGATATAGGTGCAAACAAAAATATTCTTTTAATTGGAAGGACATAGCTAGAATATATCATTATATTTAGCAGCTCATTGGCCAATGTTTATCTGATGCAGATAAGAATGACCTTGTAGACCAGATCCAGTTGTTCTTTAAGAACTTGGAAGATCAGGTGCAGCACCGGCAGTATGTGTATTAAGTCCCAGTATTCATAGTACAGATGGCTGCGTGGACTTCCTCCTGGCCCTGAGAGTCGGAGCTGCCATGGTGTCATGTGCAGTGACTTGTGTGTGTGTGTGTGTGTGTGTGTTTTGGAAGGGGATGTCGGATGTATGTTTATGTCACGTTGACTTTTATATGTTTTTGCTTATACTTAATTTTTAAAAATACTTAACCCATTTTGGTTCAAAGATAGAAAACAATATAAAGATATATTGCTTAAAGTCTCTTAACCTTTTTTCCGGCTCCCCAGTGTCTTCTGTCCCCTGTATCACAATAAACTTCTAGAAAGATTTCTGATGCTTGTACTCTTCCTCCCTCCCTTCCTCCCTCCTTTTTTTACACAAAGAGAGCCCAGCTCTGCCCCTCCCCCTCTCCTTTCACATTGTTTCTTTATGGTATTCCCTTATCTGTGCATAGAGAGCTTCTATGATGGCTTTGCTGAGTCCCAGCACCAGCATCCGACTGATGATGGACTTGAAAAGCAGGTGATGAATAGAGACCAATCCTGTGAGCGGTAGAAGCTACTTCTGCAAACCTAAGAACAACTTCCCTTTGCTTGAATAGTGAGCTTGAGACTTCTTTATCATAGTTTGTGACAACAGTACTATGTGTAAATGTAGACTCCCGTATATAACCCATCCCCATAAAAGCTTAATTTATATTGGAAATATGAAATTATGTTCCTGAAAGCCTTGGTCTAGGTTAAGATACAGGGAGAAGTTTTGTTTATTCTTATTTTCTGAGTCCTAATTTGTTTTTTCAGTTATCTGTCCAACTAATATAGTGAAATACTTGGTAAGAAATATGCAAAGAGATGTAGTAGTTTTCATTTCCAAGATGGTGAGCAGTTCTATATGAGAATTGAGCATATAGGTCTTACAGTAATAAGTCTTTTTTTAAAAAGATTATTTACTTATTTATTTGTTGGAGAGAGAGAGAAAGAGAGTGAGAGAGGGAGTACAAAGAAGAGCAGAGGGGGAGGGACAGGCAGGCTCTGCACTCAGAATGGAGCCCAATGTAGGACTCAATCCTAGGATCTTCAGATCATGACCTGAGCTGAAATCAAGAGTCAAAGGCTTAAGTGACTGAGCCACTCAGGCGCCCCATACAGTACTAATTCTTCTAATGGATTGTAACAAGGGAAACTCTAGTAACTCTAAAATTAAACTGCTTATTATTACCATCAAGAAAGCATAACTTTGGGGCTCCTGGGTGGCCCAGTCAGTTGACCATCTGCCTTTGGCTCAGGTCATGATCTCAGGGTCCTGGGATCGAGAGCTGCATCGGGAGCCTGCTCGGTGGGGAGCCTGCTTCTCCCTCTGACTGTTGCTCCCCCTGCTGTGTGCTCTCTTTCTCCGACAAATAAATAAATAAAATCTTCGGGGAAAAAAAGAAAGCATAACTTCATTTCCCACAATTTGAGTTATGAATAGAAATTCTTGAAGATAAATTGGACATTGTTAATGATAACATAAACGAAAAAATCAACTTAGATTTAATTCTCTAGATCATTTCTCCCAAAACCAACTAAAAATTTTTTTTATATATATTTTCTTTATTTTTTTCAGTAATCGCTACTCCCCTGAGTTCAAGAGTTGAAGGTTCTACTGACTGAGCCAGCCAGGCATCCCCTAATTTAAAAAAAAAAATTAATTCAACTTAAAATTTTTTTTAATTTTATTAAATTTTTTATTTTAATTCCAGTATAGTTAATATATAGTGCTATATTGGTATCAAGTGTACTATATAGTGTAAAACATATACAACTTTTAAAAATTATTGTTCCAACTTAAATTTTAAGGCATTTAGATTTTAGAGAATATTTAATGAAAAGGTGGGCTTATGACTGAAAACTAGCAAGATAAATATTTTTACCTTAAACATTTTTTTTTTTAATTTCATACTGAACACCAAAGTTTAAAGAACAATTGGATGTGAAAGGTAAGAGTGAACCAGATGCTTAAGGACCAAACAATAAGCATATTTCTACAAGGTCATACCTAATTGTGCACTTCTTGAATCCAGATGACATTAGGATGTTTAATGTATTTCTGGGATGTTGGGACATTTCAAATTTAACAGACTTGTTTTTAATCCCATAGATAATAGAAATGAGTAACACTTTCTGCTTGCACTTAATGTGCTTCTAATATATAGGCAGATTGATGTGGCAGATGCTCCGTACACTCATCTGCTGTGCTCATGGCATAAGACCCAGTGTGGAGGGGAGACATCCTATTTATTGACATTAAAAAAGTTCTTACCGAAATGGGAGACTGAAAAAAGGGCCTGCATGAGCTTTATGAATCCAGGCTGATAAGTACTATGGAACATAATGACATGATCATTTACCAGAAAGTATTTTACTCTAAGAGAAAAAGAATTGAACTAAGATTTGGGCAGAAGCCAGACCAGGTGTTGCGTCAGTAACTGGACTTCCCTGCAGTTATTTCTAGCTTCAGATGTGGCACCACAGTTCTGCCCAGTGTCTCAGTTGCAACTTATTTTTAATTCCTAGATTGTCGTGGGTGATAAAGTTGTTCTGATGCCCGTGAACGCGGGACAGCCGCTGCACGCCAGCAACATAGAGCTTCTCGATAATCGAGGGTGCAAGGAGGTGAGTTCGGGAGGGAAGAAAATGGATTTGTCTATTTTTATCATGAGAGGAAGAAAAGTCATACAGTTTTGTTCATTGTTTTCATGAATGTAATTGTGCTAATTAATATTCCTAAGATCTGTGTAGATAGTGATTGCTATTTTTGCGTAGTATTTGTGTTGAGGTGCCTACCTTATTGGCCACAGTTAACTTTTTTCTCTTTTTTACTAGTTGGAGGAACAATTTCTGGTACAAAATGGAGCTGCAGTTTTATAACTTAACATTTCTTCATTAATAGGTGAATGCTGTTAATTGCAACACTAGCTGGAAAATCACTTTATTCATGAAATATAGTTCCTATCGAGAGGATGTACTAAAAGGAGTAAGTATGTGCTATGTGGAACATTTGCTAAAAGAATGGAAGGTTGTCTTCCTGAACTTCTGGATGTAAAACCTGTGTATTCACTAGTATTCAGAGTTCAGGAGATGTTTATAAACCTTGATAGTCACTATAGTGTTTCACTGAGTTTTCTTCTCTATAGTTTGACATGTGTACATAATCATTAAAAGCCAAGTAAGTAGTAGAAGGGCCCAGAGTATCAAAACCAGGAGACATCTGCTTCTTATGTGTATTTGTTCTGACTTTTCTTGGAAATACACTGTTCTCTTCCTGTTTTCCTAGGGTGATGTTGTTAGACTGTTTCATGCAGAACAAGAGAAGTTTCTGACTTGTGATGAATATGAGAAGAAACAGCACATTTTCCTTCGGACAACCTTGCGTCAATCAGCCACTTCTGCTACCAGTTCTAAAGCGCTCTGGGAAATAGAGGTGTGCAAATAATGTTTGGATTTTAATAAATATTTATATAAAAAAGACAAGGTTACTAAGCTGATTATTTTATTGTTATAGACATCATTTATGATAAATCCATAAAACAGTAATATTTGTGGACTAACTTGTACCTTTTCATTACTGTGATGAATTTAAAATGTTGCTACTTCCTTTTCCTATCCTCTCTGGGGCATCTCTTTTCCTGTCCCCTCTCTCTCTTCTCTCATTTATTAAGGGAATGGATAGATGTTGCTTTTTAAAAATCTATTGTGAACTGTTGTCAACACTGATCTGACCGCAAGTGATGTGCCTCAGATGGCATTGGAGTTATGATGGAACTTTCACTCACTTCCGGTAAAGACAGATATCAGAGCTGCACAGTCACTGAGAAGAACATTTGTTTCTTCTGGAGATGCCATTTTTATTGGCTGAAGAGACCCATAGTTAAGAATTCATCCATCCTTTAAAAAGTTTTTCTTAAATGTTGCCAATATGGTAGAGTAATTAAGAAAATGTAAGGTGTGGATTTTTCTTTTTTTTTTTCAAAAGATTTTATTTATTTATTTGACAGATAGAGATCACAAGTAGGCAAAGAGGCAGGCAGAGAGAGAGAGAGAGAGAGAGAGGAGGAAGCAGGCTCCCTGCTGAGCAGAGAGGATGTGGGGCTCGATCCCAGGACTCTGGGATCATGACCCGAGCCAAAGGCAGAGGCTTTAACCCACTGAGCCACCCAGGTGCCCCATAAGGTGTGGATTTTTCTTTAAGGGGTCTTTCTATACGATGAAGGAGTTAAGATAGACATAATTACCTATGAACAAGCCAACATACGATGCATTCCATCCTGATTTAATGGACATCCAGACTTACAGCTGTGGTTCTCAACCATTTTAAACCCATCACTTCCCCTTTAGAGCATGTATTTTGTGATACTTCTTTAATTTTTTTTAAAAAATATTTTATTTATTTATTTATTTGACAGACAGAGATCACAAGCAGGCAGAGAAGCAGGCAGAGAGAGAGGAAGGGAAGCAGGCTCCCTGCCAAGCAGAGAGCCCGACGCGGGGCTCGATCCCAGAACCCTGAGATCATGACCAGAGCTGAAGGCAGAGGCTTTAAACCACTGAGCCACCCAGGCGCCCCACTTCTTTAATTTTTTGAAATGAAATTCTTAGGTAATATTATTTATAGATTTACATGAGTAAAAATTAATAATATCCCTAAATTCCAATTTAGAAAACATGAAAGGAAAATAATTTATAATAAATAATTGATAATAAAACAATATGTATTTCAATATGTAAATAATTATTCTAGTAGATATAATGTTTGTACCCACCTTGAATGAATACATTTGGATTTGAAAGACAAGGTAGAGAATGAGGATCAGAAGACATTCTATGCAGGGGCACTTGTGTGGCTTAGTCAGTAAAGCATCTGCTTTCAGCTCAGGTCATGATTCTGGGGTCCTGGGATGGAGTCCCTTCGTGGGCTCTCTGCCCAGCCAGGAGCCTGCTTCTACCTTTCCCTCTACCTCTGTCTCTGCTGCTCCCCCTGCTCGTCTCTTTCTCTCTCTCTCAATTAAATAAAAAAATCTTAAAAAAAAAAAGAAGACCTTCTATACAAGTACAGGAAAATGAAAGAGCAGGGGTAAATGTGGGCTCGTAAATATCTCATGATCTTGTGTTAGGGGAAGTAATAGCAGAACGCACTTATTTGTACATGATTTTAAAAAAGAAGGAAATAAACATTAATATAGGGATAACAACACAAATTACAGAATCTTGAAACAGAAAATGAGGAAGTATAATGTTTATGCCAATGAGCTGAGCCTTAGTTATAAATGTAATATCAGAACGATTCTCTAAATTATGACATGGTTTAGAATAGAGATGAACTAGTACAAAAAGCATACTTTCTATCTTGAAACCCCAGTACATATTGAGGCATACTTTCAGACTCTAGCATTCAGAAGAGACCTTATCCTTCAAGAGGATAGGTTTACAGACTTTATAGAAAGTCTTAGGAAAAACCACCATCACCGAAACTACATGATATTCTTCTAAGAAATCTACCTGACAATGTCTCTTATCAGGGTGAAAGATAACCGACAGCCCCCAAATAAATACATAATTAAAATATGTATTTCTCACACCATAGATTTCTTATCATTGTGCTCTAAAGAATTAAAGAAATACAGGGAGAACAATAATGTGAGGTATAATTTTAAAGATTTCTTAATGAAATATAGTCAGAAAAAAGTCCTGTAGTGCCTTCCCTATACAGTGAGTTCCCCTTATTTCCTATGTCTCTGCCTACATGGTATTTAGCTCTAAGTCTTTTAAAGGAATTGCAAATCTTCTCTCTTATATATTTACTATTAGTTTTATAGATTTTGCTGTAACTGTATCACTGTGTGGTCATCCTTTCCAGCAAGGCGTGTAGTAGAAAATACTGTAACTACTACAACCCGCCAAGCAGTCATCATGGAGAGAATGAATCCATTATTTAATAATTCTGGAATAATGTCTTGAATTCATTTAAGCTTCCCTCTCCGTAGTGGATTTCCCTTCAATTATTGGACTTTTCATCTGACTTGATATGAAAACTTTTTAATATGATTATATGTGAAAGTGTTACCAGTTTATATTTGTGGGTGGTTCATTTGTGCAGGAGGCTTGAATGGTTCATTTGTGCAGGAGGTTGTGGGACATTTCTCTACTGTGTGCTGTATCAGCCAGTGTGGTCGAGGCGAAGAGGTATTTGATGTAGCAAATTAGGTTTCAATGTTACTGGAAGGACCAGACAGGGAAAACCAGGGTAGGGAATGCAGTCTTTTTCTTTTCTTTCTTTCTTTCTTCCTTCCTTCCTTCCTTCCTTCCTTCCTTCCTTTCTTTCTTTCTTTCTTTCTTTCTTTCTTTTTTTTGAAGATTTTATTTATTTACCTGAGAGAAAGAGAGAGATCACAAGCAGGCAGAGAGGCAGGCAGAGGGGGAGAGGGAGAGCAGGCTCCTCACTGAGCTGAGAGCCCGATGAGGGGCTCGATCCCAGGACCCTGAGACCATGACCTGAGTTGAAGGCAGAGGCCCAATCCACTGAGCCACCCAGGTGCTCCAGGGGACACGGTCTTATTGGAAGATCAGGCAAGGCTGAAGGTCTCTGCTGCTCCTCCCCTGAGCCCTCAGACCTCTCCCCACTTGCTTCAGGAGGCTGCCTGAGGCACCTGCCACCCCTTTACTGGAACCCGAAGAGGAAGCGTTCTTCTACTTTTCTCTGCTTTCCATACTAATGGAAGGACCCAGAACCCTGCTGCTGAGGCTTCCCACCCTGGGATACAGAGAGAGGAGCACTTGGAGGGGTGGGTGGGTCCTGAGTGCCACACACAACGTCCAGCCTGGGCTCCATCCCCTGTGACCTGCAGCATATATGGTATCTTAGCCAATACCCCATAATGCCCGTAGCATCCCTCTAAAGTCACTGTGATGGATGAAAACACCTTCCTTTATGTATGTCCAGTTGTCCCCTAGTGAGTTGTACCTGCATTGCTAGATTGACTAGTGTCTCAGATAATTCGTAGTCCGGGACCCTGGGGAGCTTCCGGTTATGTGTGAACTTCTAGCAGCTGTACACAAAATGTGTGTGCGTGTCCGTGAGACAACCAATAGATTTGATCAGTGTGTCAGAGGTATCTGTGCCTTTGCCGAAGGTGTTCGAGGGTAGCCAGTGTGACTAGCAAAAGATTTGTGGAAGAAGTTTGATTTGAGAACTTAGAACTTAGCCTTGGAAGATGGGTAGAGTTTTGGCCACAGGGAATGTTGTTGTTTTTTTTTTTTTTAAAAAGACCTCATCCACTTTGAAGTATTTTCCTAATTATTACATTATTTGAGCTACCAGGGTAGGGGAAGACCTAGAAGCTAGAGTCTAGCAAAAGCATTAGAAAGTTTATATGTAGTAGGCTGGGGCAGGAGTCCAACCGGGGGTGGGGGTCAGCATTAACAAAAAGAAGGTAACCTGTTGGGGGAGAATAATGAAAAATTCTCCTAGTACTTAATCTTCAAAACAATTAAAAACATTTTGCACTTGACGAAACTGGCTTGAAGATGTTAAATTACTTGCCGTGATCATACCATTGGAATTGGCAGAGGTGGGACTCAAACACAGTCATCTTCAGACAATAAAAGGTCGGCTTTGCTGCTGCCCCAAGCCGCCTGCTTCAGAGCCTCTCCTTTTACTCTCAGTGAGCCTCATGGCTCAGCATCTGGGGCAAGGCCACTTCCAAGGACAGGTATCAAAGGCCATGGTATTAATAAAAAAGCACTTGTGGAAAGGGCCAATAATTAAGTTCGTTGAGAGCTCCAGGCCTTGGCATTTGTGGTTCCCTCTGTCTGGAATGCTATCATCTGATCTCTCTATGTGACTGTTCGTTCTTATCCTGCAGGTTTCAGCTCACATATCATGTCAGAGTGGCCTGGCCTAATCACCACATCTCAAGAAGCCTTCCCTAGTTACTCAGTCACGTGCTCTGTTTATTTCCTCATGGCACTTGCCAAATCTTATTTAGTGAAAACTCTAGTCTTCTCCATTGCTATGACCCTATTGCCTAGAAGAAGGTGTAGAGTAAGCTTTTAATATGATTTGCTGAATGAATATTTGAGGGACCAATGGGACAGAACCCTTCAGCGTTTCCAGTTTTGGCCTGGGAAGACTGTCTCTTGGAGTAAGACTGTATTTACACATTTAAGGCATGAGCATCACCCGTGCACACAGTGAGTGAACTTATGTCTCTTTGCTCATTTGTTGGGGATTTTGTTTTTCTTCCATATTGTCCTCTCAGGCAAACATATATTGGATTTGACAAGTGAGACTTAATAGGCAAACACTTTGTATGAACTGTTGGCACTGGCTTGCCAGCAGCATGAATATCTTTGAGGCTTTATTGTCGTTGCTCTTTTTTTCTGTAGGTCGTTCACCATGACCCATGCCGCGGGGGTGCTGGACAATGGAACAGCTTGTTCAGATTTAAACACCTTGCAACTGGGAACTATTTAGCTGCAGAGGTAAGACTGATGGATACAGTACTATTACATCTCTGTCTCTGAAATAGTGAAATAAGCATTTGGGTTCTCCAAAAGATGCTGTATTCGTAGGAACACTCATTATGCAAAATTTGATTATTGTCTCTCAAGATATGGGTTGGCATATAAATTATTCTAAAGTGTGAATATTAATTGAAGCACTACAATAATCTTTGTCTTAAAAATTTAGACAACAAGGGGCCCTCTATGGCTCAGTTGGTTAAATGTCTGACTTGTGATTTCTGCTCAGATCATGATCTTAGGGTCTTGGAACTGGCTCTGCATTGGGCTCTGTGCTCAGCCCCAAGTCTGCTTGAGATCCTTTCTCTCCCTTGACCCCTCTCCACATGCATGGGCACACGGTCTCTCTCCAAAATAAATAAATAAATGAACCTTAAAAGAAATTAAAACAACAGTAACAACAGAGCACTGGTGCTTGGTTTACTTTAAGGTCAAGTGCCATAGAGTATCTGATCTGCATATTGTATGCTGTTTGTTCTAGACTTTATTATTTAGCTTCAATCTTGCAGAATGTCTGCCTTGGAGACATGATCAACTCATTGTTGGTGTAGTAGAGCCTTGATAGTTTCAGTCATCTTTACTGAGCCTGGTTTCACTAGTGGATGACTTTTATTGTTCAAACCATTGGAGAGGAAAGGCGTTTCTTCCTGAGGCACTGAACTGTCCTAATACTGTTAATAAAAATGGTCAAAACAAATAAAGGTTTTTTCTTTCTCCACTAAAAGCATGTTGACAATCAGGTAGCTACGACGTAACAGCATAGAAGTTTTACAAATGACTTAATTAAAGTTTGGTTATCCAATGTAAAAATAATTTTGAAAATATTTGTTTTTTAGATGGATGAAAATACACATTCATTCTACTCTCCTCAACTCTGTTTCTGTTTTTCAATTTAAGGTTTCCTCTGGGATTCAAAACCAGAATTGGCCTTAGGAATTTTAGTATTCCTTATCTGACTTTTGGTTTTGGATGTGAGGGAGGATAAGAAACTGGGGGGGGCAGAAGTGATGAGAAAGAGGTGTGGGAAACAGGATGTTTCTAGTAAACAGGCTGAGCCCTGAGTACTCAACACCATTACCCTTTATATCTATTAACCTGCGATAATTGTCTTCATAGTGCTTACCACTGTCTGACTCATTGTACATTTTATTTTCTCACATTCTCTGTCAGAATGTATGTTCCCTGAAGGCAGGGATTCTTTTTGTTTTGTTTTTGTTTTATATCACACTGTGTCCCCAGCATGTAGGGCAGTGCCTGGTACTTACAAAAGATTTGATGAATATTTTTTGAATGAATGAATGAGTATATAGAAGCCATTCAGGCTTCTGTAAGCTTAAAGGATGGGAAGAAGATTTTGGGATTTGTATCTGAGTGGCATTTGGAGCCATGTTTGGGCAAATTAGTCTCTCTAAGATCCAGTTTCTTCCTCTGGAAAATGGGGATAATCACAATATTTATATAATACGAGTATTAAGAAAATTAAATGAGGTGAAATGCTTGGCATGACATGTGGGCCATGGTAAGCATCCAGGAAGTGACACTGGCATGGTTATATTTATTATGAGAAATAGGGACTACTCTTACTTTTATAAATATCTGACTTATTATTTATGAATCTGTTCAAATAAATGAAATATAGCCTTGTAATTTATGGCCTGTTTACATCATGAGTGTTTTGAAGTAACTTTTTTGAAAAATAACACTTTGATGCAAAATTAAGCCGGAGAATCTTGTCTAAAATAAGAATCAGAGAAGTCTATTTGATGTGGTATAAAAGATAAGAAATTAGTATCAAAATTCTCTTGAATCTTTCATTAGTGACTCTCCCTTAATTTACTTTAATCAATGGCTGTTTTAACTACTGACATTCTATAGAAAACCAACATGATTATACATTATGAGTTTCTCAGTTAATTTCTGCAATTAAAACTTTATCATTGATACATTCAAATGACTGGATTATTAATAATTAAATTGTTTATTAACTTTAATGAAGATCTAAGACCTCAATATATAAAGGAATTTATTAAAAATTGAGAAATAGAAAGCAGCTCATTCCTTGAAAAGACTTTGAAAGACTCTATTCTGTCTTTAGAGAATATGACTTTAAATGCCAGATGCTATTTTGTCCATTTAAAAGTCTGGTGTACTTGGAGGAGCTCTTCTTTGACCTTTAATACTTGCGATAACATCTTTTTTTATGGCAAGGTGAGAGAAGGAGAATTAAGCATTAAACACAACTCTGAAAATGGAAACCTAGGAATTTATTTTCTACTGGTTTTAACTAGTAAAATAATAGATACTTCTGTGTAGTGTTCTACCATCAAAAGAGAAATCTTAGGGACACCTGGGTGGCTCAGTTGGTTAAGCAGCTGCCTTTGGCTCAGGTCATAATCCCAGCCTCCTGGGATCGAGTCCCACATCGGGCTCCTTGCTCGTCAGGGATCCTGCTTCTCCCTCTGCCTCTGCCTGCCACTCTGTCTGCCTGTGCTTGCTCTCTCTCCCTCTCTCTCTCTGACTAATAAATAAATAAAATCTTTAAAAAAAAAAAAAAAAAAAAGAGAAATCTTAGCCTCAAAATACTGGCATCCATAGGTTAGGGTTTTATATTTCATTTGTTGGCTAAGGTCAGGTAAGATCCTGGTGTAGTCACATCACAGGATGTGTGTGTCCTACTGGTGTGAAAGTGTCTACAGATGTGGCAAAATCAGTAACTGTCGTTGTCGTGTGATAAAAGATTGATATCCAATTCTAGTTCCACGATAGGTGGAAATTAGCCTCTGACAACAGTTAAAACACAATGCTTATCCTTTCATTATTTTGCTTTTTAAAAATGCCTAGGTCTTTAATTTCAACTCATTCCCAACAATTGGATCTGCAACTTCTTAGCTTTATTTATTTTCTCATATTATACGCTTATTCAAAGGAGAGAAAAGACTCCATGGCTTTTATTTTACTTTTTTAGTTCTATCTTTAATATCTAGATGCTTCTTAAAAAAATAAGACGCACATTGTAGGAAGTTGAAAATGCAAGAGTTGGGAATAATTATTTTTGGAATTCAGAGCAGCGGCAGACACCCTCCTTAAGATTTCACATCATCTTTAGTATATGCTTTTTAAATGATTGATAAGTGCAGAGCATGATGGAGAATGCTGCAGGTAGAGAAGGAAGCAGAGGGGTAAGTCTCTGCCATCAAGGAGTTGACCTCCTAGTTTGGAAGTGGAAGACGGTCTACAATGAATGGCCACGGGATGGTCAGCGGGTAGGATCATGTCAGGCTGATTCTGTGTTCAGGTGGAGCTAGATCAGCAGGAAATTAGCCAAAGAAGACTCTTGCTTGTGGTGAACTTGTCCCTGGTTCTCCAAGAAAGGAATAAGCACAGGTGGGTAGAGAAACAAAAGGACAACCATTGTAGAAGTTGCCAGACAGGGTTGTAGAATGTCCACATCATATGCAGACAATGAAAAAAGGGCAGCCTGGCTCAAGGAAAGGGTTTTTTTGTTTTTTGTTTTTTGTTTTGTTTTGTTTTTTAAAGGAAAGGGGTTCTAAAAGGAATTACTGAGTGACTGATCCCTTTGCTTAAAGATTTAGGTTGAAAGGTTTGGGTTTGATCTAATCCGTAGGAGGAATAAGGTTTGAAGTAGTTACCTTAGGGGCTGAGGCTGGACGGGTATTTGTAAACATTTGGTAGATACTGGTGATGTCCCTAGAAAATCTAACTTCTGTCCTTGTGGAGCTCTCAGTACAGTGTGATAAGTGTATTATAGCAATAGGAACAGTGATGTGCTTATGGGGAGGCACTAGGTGCCCGGGAGGCACAAGGAATGGTCAGGAGGCTGGAGGAGGTGTTGCTTAGTGGATGGGTAAGGCAGGTGTGTGTGTCGGGGAGAACACATGTTCAGGCAGTGAGGACGGCATTTACAAAGGTAAGGAGGTGTGTGCTATTTTACGAACTAGTTTCATATGGCTAATACATATGTGGATCACACAGAGGCTCTGTGTGAGATTGGAAGTGGTGCTGGAAGGTGGCGGGGTGGGGAGTAGTAGGGCCAGACATGGAAGGCAGCTGATTTTTTTAGGCCATATCTGTTAAGCTAAGGAGAATTGGTTTTATTTTTAAAGCATAAAGAGCAGCATTCTAAATAAATTTGTGTTTAAGGACAACCACTCTAGAATTGCGTTGGCATATGTTGGCTCTTTAAATTAAAATAAATACCATTAAAATGAAAAAGTCAGTTTGTCAGTTATACTAGCCACATCTCAAGTGGCTCAGTAACTTCAGGGTGTTGGATGGTGCAGATACTGAACATTTCCATCAGCACCAGGAAAGTTCCAGTGGACAGAGCTGCTCTGGAGCCTTAGCAACTGGAAGGGATGGCCTCTGAGAAGGGGAGCCCAGAGGTCTGATACCTTTGGGGAATTTTGAGGATTTGAACTGAGGGAGTGGCATTGGTCATGGCCAGAAGGGGAAAGGAAGACATTTTTTGGACATGGAAGCAATAGAGTCGTATTCGTAGAATGTTATAGATGAAGGAATTGGAGGATTCTGGCTTTGGAGAACTGGTGATGTCATTCACCAATTCAGGGGAAATGGGAAGGGGTGCAGCACCGATGAGGAAATAATCTATTCAGTTTTGACTCCATTTGATTGGAGGAGCTATAAAATGCCCAGGTGAAAATGCCTGATAGGCACAGGGTTCGCATCTTCTAGAAGTTTGGAGATTGGTTCAACCGACAAGCATCAGCACGGAGGAGATCATCAGGCAGTATGAGGAGAGTGAGAAGGTGTTTGATGGTGAAACTGTGGGGAACATCATCTTCCAAGGGTGGACAACAGACAGGGAGCCTGAGAAGTCAGAGAAGCCGCTGGAAAATCTGATGGGTTGAGTCACAAATGTCAAGCAAGGGAGGACAGAGTTTCAAAAAGGAGAGAGTGCTACCAGAAAGGTCTGGAACACA